TGTTGGACAAGCAGTGCCTTGGACCGTATCGCTTTAACGGAAGTAAAGCACCCCCCCCCCCCCCCCTTTGGTGTCCCACACTTCCACTTCCTGGAGCTGCAGATGAGTAAGAACTTGAACCCAAGGCCAAACTGAAAGATTCGCTTGTATCCGTACCGTCATCAACCCGTATGACAATCACAGTAAGTTAACAATGCCCCGCAAGATAAGCCCAAGTGAAACCCAAACCCCCATGCCACTCAGCTCAGGAAGAAAATCAAGATGAAGGGCTCCCTGCAGCCCATCCGATACTCCATCTTTGAGAACTTCTGCGCTGTGGCACGGCGGTCGCAGGCCGAATGCGTTTTAAGCGAAGTCTAAACAAAGATCCTTGCCAAGGCTTGAACAAGTGCTGGCTACTTCTTCACTTAAGGCTTCATTCTACGATCTTTGGAGAGGTGGGGTTTGGAAGGACGGGTGTGACTGTTCCAGACAACCCGGCTTGCACAGGTACCTTGAGCCTTCAAGGTCTTTAGAGCAGCGCTTTTTGGGCCTTCCCTGTGAATCCCAGGCCCCTGGCACAAAAAAGCCAGGGCCGAAGGCTCAATCGAGAGACTTCAAAGCCCTGAGCCTGAACCCTGAATCAGAAGCCCGCCGCCCAGACACCTGGATTCCCAAACCGGACTAGCATAGGGGCCTAAATCATTACCTATANNATACTTTTTTGGGGGTTCCTTATTTTAGCTATAGTCTAATATACACCCAAAACCCTATTCAATTTGTTAAGGCATTTTTTGTTTACCCTAAACCCTAAACCCCAAACCTGCAAGCACAGGTCCAAGCAATGCCAGGCCGGTTCGGTGCAGCTCGCTCCGAGGTGTTCCTTGGAATGCCCAACGATCTTGAAGGGGTTTAGGGTTGAGGATTTAGGGTTTAGGGTTTAGGGTTGAGGATTTAGGGTTTAGGGTTTAGGGTTGAGGATTTAGGGTTTAGGGTTTAGGGTGGAATGCGCGGGATTCTGGTGCCTCAGAAGGGTTCAGGGTGCTGGGAACCCTATGCTGCAACTACTTGGAGGTTCATGGGTAGTTATAAGTAGGGTAACTACAACTACAACCCATATTAGGGGACTTATAACCCCACACTTATAACTACCCATGAACCTCCAAGTAACCCATGAACTTGGTTCTTGAGGAGCACGGAGAGGAACTTCAAGAAGGGCTTTTAACAGGCATCGTCGTAGCAAAGGAAGTGTTCATCATCTCCCCATGCCCGCGAGAAGTATAGATGTGTATATGGATGTACCACGCGCATACATCATGCTGCTGTGGTGCTGTATTCGGATGTGCGTGCAGCAGCGCTTCAAGTCTAGGGTCGGTTGTGTTTTTTCGGACCTGCCAAGTAAAGAAGCAGCATTCCTGGAGACGGCCTGCATGGAGTTTCGGGCCCGGAGTGAGCATATATTCTTCAAATATATCTAAGCTGACCTATGGTTCCGAAACACGAAAGAAGCCAAACAAAAAACGAGACCACACGTCCTGCAAGATGCCCTGCTTCTGTCGTTGCCGAAGGTTAGAAGAGGTTCGCAAGTGCCACCAGCGCCTGAACCGAACGATGCCTACCGACAGCTACGCTGCAGACCCGAAGATGAAGACTTCGGTGCACGCAGCTGCCAAACGCGGGCAGGCAGCCATGTTAGTTCAGCGCAATTCGAAGAATTACGAAGCCGTGGCGAACAAGCAGACGCTTCTGCGGGACGACGAGCTAGAGTTATGGATGAGACAGCAGTTTCAGGTGGTCAGCTGATGCTGGCTCCATGTTTCCTTCGAGGCAACGCGCTCAAAGAGCATGCATCTTGCCTCTTCGAATTCAGATCAGAGTGCGACAGTTGCCAATGGTGCGAACCTCAGTTAGGCCTCCACAAGCAGCCCAAAGGCAAATTGCAGATACCATACGCAATCCATCTGCATGCGTGTGGCCTTCATGAACCCTAAACCCGAAACCCCTAATAAAAATAACTGCAAGCACGTGTGTTGAGGAAGGCTCACGCGCGCAGGTCTTAGGTTGCCACGCCAGGAGAAGGAGTGCACCTGGAAGCTTGCTCGGCCTATCTCTATGACTGCGCACAATCTGCAGACATGTTCGCACCTGGCCTTATAAACAGGACCCTAAAGGGACCCTAATTTAGAGAACTCCCCACATAAGAAGAGATGTTCAAGCAGCCAACAACAAACTAGCGCGGACCTCGAGTCCGCATCTGCAGCTTCCTGGCTACGATGCACACGCCTCCTCTGAAAAGTCTCACCAGGCTTCCACGAGTTTCACCGCGACGGTTGAAAATGAGAGTGCGTGCTAATTTTGGGGCCTAAATAATTACCTATGCGATTTGGGGGGTTCCTTACTAAAAATTTACTATATCATGGGCCCCAAAACCCTATTCTAATTATCAAGGCCCCTATAGAAGCCGTTCCGGCTGGGTCTCGCAGCCTGTCACCGCATGCCGCAATCAGAGCCGATCTTCCATTATATACCCTCACCCCCCAGGTACCTACTATATATGATCCCGGTTCGGCCGGCCCCCCCCCCCCTCCCCCCCCAA